CGGGAGGCGGCGGCAGCACCCAGCCACCCCGCGGGCGTTAATTAAACCATCCTCACTTATTTAAATAGAAATTATTTTTCGTTTCCACCAGCAACTCTTTTCTCCTTACAAAGTTACAGGTTGCTCTCCCGTCCCCAAACCCCAACATCACTGCGGATTTGTGCCGTTGTCCACACGCTATTTATGTTCACCAACTTGCTGTATATTCTAGTTTTTACGTTAAAATCCCTTTTGGGGAAACGTTAGCAGTGTTTGCTCTTGCTGGAAAGTTGCAGTTTTGTTACCGGAGTGCATCTTGCTCAACCTTGCTTCCTCCTGGCTTAAGTAACAGCCCTGGGGGTCTTGGAGGAATTCAGCCATGTGCCCTCTCAGCCCCAATTTTGGGAAAATTCACATGGAGATGGCAGTTAGTGTCAACGCCCTGTCGCCTCCTGCTCTGCCTCCAGCCTCCTGGAAGAAGGACACCTTCCCTCCATGTGTAACCATGGAGATTAAGGGATGATCTGGGCAGATTTTATAAATCATTCTGGTAAAAGATATTTCACCTGCAGATCAACTAAACCACCTGCATTGCAAAGATGGGCCTTTCTTCCCCCCTCCCCTAAGCAGAGCTTCCATTCCCCCTTGGCTTCTCTGGATGTTAAGGCTCAGACCAACACTTTCCTGATCGCCTATAAAGCCGTGTTCGAAAAAACAAGTCACACTAGTTAGGTGTGTGGAAATAGCTGGTTTTAAAATCTGCCTTTAAACACTGCTGCTGTTCACGTTTTTCTTTCCTCCTGTTCTTTTTGAGCCAAATGTCACCCACATCCCTGCCTGCCTGCACCCTCTACCTCGGGATCCTGGGAGCCCTTCCCAGCTAGTCCAGGGAAGAAAAAATCCCTGCGCTCACAAACAGCTTAGTAAGGCTTTGCCGCTGTCCCATCTCATGCCCTTCTGGGCCTGTTCTTCTCTAATTTTGAATTAACAACATGGTTTTAACAGCAATATCACTGTAGGTTCAGGTACAAATACGTCAGTCTCTGATGAAATGAGAAGGAGCTCCCCTCCTCCCAATTTCCACCCTCCCTCCAACATTCCCAAAACAGACCTTGTGTTACTGTAAATCCCATTTTCCTACATATCAATGAAGCAATAATGGGGGGGGGGGGAAATCAGTGCCTTGCTCAGTAACTTTCCTGGCACAGTTAACCCAGAACATTAAAGATCTCCTTCCAACACATCTCTAAGATGTTTTATTACTACAATTCAATTCTTCCTACATAACTGAGTAAACTTAAAATGACTAGAAGACCTTTACTCTCAGGTGCAGGGTCACAGTGTGATGACCTGCAGAGTTTTGTTTTGGTACAGCCTAGACCCACTTTATGGGCCATAAGGATACCTGCTTTTACTGCATCGCTTGTATGATGTACACTCCAGCTTGCATGAAGGCTCAGGGTCTGTCATCGCAGGAGACAAAGTCTCTCCAGTAGGAAACCCTATCTGCAGCTGAACAAGGGGATGGCCAAGGGGACAGGGCTCTTTTCCTCTATTTTCCTACAGAGGAATGAGGGTTTGGATTAGTGGAGTTTGTCTAATAAACGGGAATGACGTTTGTTTCAGCAGCTGGTTTCTGTGTTCTGCCAAAAATAAATAATTGGATCAAATCTAAATAAACACACATGAGATGGAACTTGGCCACGTCCTTAGCTGTAGTGTAGAAGGTGGGGAGGGCAGATGGAAACCCCTGGGACCAGAGGGATGCAGCGGCAGGGACAACTCCACGATCTCAGCTGGAAGGTAGGAGTTCCCTTCCGCAGAAATACTAAATTTGGTGTCGCGTTAAAGAACGTCCTCTGCAGCAAACCCTGGTGTGAACGTTCGTACAAACTGGTGGCAAACACAAAATTGGAGCAGGAAACCAGCTGCAGCAGGAGCTATTGGGGGCAAACAAGTAATTTCTGAAGATGTCTGGAAGCTATTAGTCTCTGCCCTCCTGTTGCTGCTCTGAAGAGACGTTCACAAGCAAAGCGTGGCAGTCTGAGGGCAGAGGGTGGGACTGACAGTAGAAATCCCGGGCTCACTAGGTCAAAAAGGACTTTCCTAACAATTTGGGGAGACTTGGTCTCGTCTCAGTAGCTGCCTATGTGAGTGATCCCCCTTCATTTCAGGAGCACAAGCTCCCCCCGGGGCTGGGCTCCACTTACTCATCAGCAGACAGCAGACGCTTCCTGGAGGGTAGGTTTTTTAATTTGCTGGCAAGCAGCAACAAAATTGATTAAAATTGCAAAATACCTTTTCAAATTACTCATTTCCCTATCACAGCCCTCCATGTAAATAAATGACTGCTACTGTATTCCCAGAGCTGTTGAAAGAAGAGAGGCAAGGGGGAAGAGGGGCTGGGGGCAAGGCAGAATCTAAAACTCTTCCTCTCTCCCCAAAAGCTCCATTTCCATAGCTTTCCGTGACAGTTCCCATAGCTATTTTAAGTCATGATTTTTAAACCAAATGAACTAATGTCCTTCACTTATTTAAGTCCAAGGTTGGATAAACAATATTTAAAATATAAGGTCACTGGGAAAAAGTGATGAAAAAAAAAAAAAAAAAAAAAAAAAAAGAAAAAACCCAAACCAACCCTGGACTCCCTTGAGAATGAAAAGCATTTCTATTTGTTCTCAGTGGACCACTTTGGTATTTAGAAAGAATTTTGTTTGAAGCCTTTTACACGAGGCGTTTTATTGCAGCCAAAGGTAGGAGCTACAACTCTATAACGCCAACAGTTTTTCCTTCATTGAGTCTTTGAAAATCAATTAAAGGCTTTAGAAATTGCTTCCACATGAAAGAAAAAAAAAAAAAATCCATTCCTAGCTCTGCTGCATCAAAACAGCATTGGGTAAGTGAGCTCCTGAAGAGGTAACTGCACTTCTTTAAAGCATCTGTGATTTTCACTTCCATGGCATACCTGCATTTCTCAAAACTATTCCGTTGTCACTTTCCATTTGCTCATAAAAAGCATCAGCCCTGAAATCCAATCCATAACCCCAGTTAAAATGGAGCTTCTGCATTAATAAATGAGATTATAAGAAGCAATTGTCCGCAAAACCAAAGGGCTGGACCCCGTGGCCCAGGGTGCAATACTGTTACTTTATTCAGTGAAATCTGTCTTAGGAGAGAGATATGCCAGTCCTCTGAAAACAGGCCCACACATTTATGTTCCTAATAACCTTCTTAACTTTTTCCAAGGGATCAATCCATACTAATATAGATTGTTACCTGGGAAGAAGTTTGAATTCAGCAAAATCCTTGGCTCTGGACCCCAACCAGACACAATCACCAAATGTCAGCCTGGGGACAGACCAACAGCTCCCTGCCCGGCGAGCACAGAATTACCCTTATTCCTCTGCTCCCGCCTCACGCTGAGCCTGACCAGGCTGACACATTCCTCAGTGTTTAGCCACAAGACCTCCAGCATTCAGGGATTTACCACTAATATTTTCACGCTTGAGATTTTAATTAAAGGGAACCTAACTCTGCCCGGCGGATCCCAGTGTGCCGAGCAGCGAGGGGGATGTGGACAGCACCCCACTGACAGCACCCCAACAACACAGCACCCACACATGCTCCAAATGGGGATGTGGGTCAGGCGTGGTCAATCCACAGCCCTTGACATCCCTGTGCCTATTTTAGGGGGACCTTTAATTTCCAGGCAGCCTCTTCACCGCTGTGTGAGATGCTCTGCTGCGGACAGAGCCCCCAGCCCCACATGTCCCTGCACCTGGCAGCGGGGTGACACTGTGCAGAGCTAAGGGACAGCGGTGGTGGCACTGCTTGGAACACCTGGGATGCTGGCAGAGCCTCGTGGCTCTGCTCTACACCAACTAATGGTTTACAAAGGGGTCAAGGAGAAGAAAAAAAGAAAGCGATGAAATGTCAAGCTTGCTTTTTGCTAAACCCCAGTATTAATAGTGCAGAGGCCAGACAGGCAGAGGGATTCACATGACATAAAATAACTCTCTCCAGAGCTAGCAAACCTCTTCAATGGCTTTAGCCCTGCATCCATACTGTCAAACCAGCCAGGTACATGAAGCATCATTGCTGGATGTACTGGTTTCCTGGAGATGATAAAATAAACTTAAGTAGTGACATGACTTCTGTTTTTCCCCTGTTGCAGGAGTTTAATCAGCAGCCCAAACCAAAACATTTGCGTTGGTAAAAAGATGGCTACAATTTAATCTGAATCTAATAACTAGAATGTTTTCACTGGGGAATTCGAACAAATTATTCCTTTGCTGTTGCATTTTCATCTCATTTACATTTTAATCCCAGTAGGATCTTCCTCTGTTATATTTGGAAAATGACTGCAGAGAAAGGGAACAACAACATGGTTGCAGCACTCAAACATACATTGAGAATTTAGCTGTTAACTTTTATGGCAGAAGTCTGGCTATGCCAAGCCTTGAATGTTTGAAATTTAGGACAAATACTGTGGTTTTTTTCCAAACACC